GGGTACAAAATAAATGTTTCTTTAGCAATTGCATTTGTACTTGACCAAGATACTACTCTGTTTAGCCAAAGAACTACTTATAAACCACTCTGCAAAAAAATCATGGCATGTGTTAGGTTTAATAGGTGCTGGTCTGGTGTTTTGATCTAACAAGCAACAAAAAGGCACTGTATTTTTTGCCTTTGTATAGTAGCACTGATAATCATATTTGACCATGAGGAAAAATCATTATATGTAGGCAACTGTGAAAGCTAACATGTGTTTAATGGCACAGCTTGTACTTCTGTACCTCTGCCAGCTTACCTCTCTCAAATAACAACTTTAAAGGTTATGCCGTCCAGAGAATATTATCTCTTCTGCAAAAAGGCACCTGCCTACAGTATAATACTAGTGTGGTGAACTGTGTCAGCAGACATAAAAGTAACTTATGGCTAGGGATATGACAACACAAGTTTACAAGCTGGTAAGACAGCTAAACTGGCATATACCAGATACCCTCAGGCACCACTAGTATGTCTACTGCCCAACCACGGATTTGCTAATCGGTGGCAGCAGTGTATAACTGCTACAACAGTATCATACTTGGGCTCTTGTGTATGAGGTACATAGCAGTATTCTCCAATAAAAGGATCCCCAGCTGAGAAAACGTTACTCAAGACAGGAAGGAAAGAGCAGTTGTGATTTGGTAACCGGAGAATTTAAAACAATGGGTCAGACGCTGTAGAAATTCTGCAAGGGTTTTGCACGACAGAGTTGGCTGTGTACACCACAGAGAAGGATCAGGCACAGAGTTTCTCTGGACATGAACAGTTGTTGACAGCAGCACAAACAGCTTCGGTCAAATAGATTCCACAGAAAATATTAAAGAGAGAAAACATGGAAAAGGTCAAACTGAGTGACCGTTACAGAAAGGGATAGAAGTTCCTTGCCAAAGCAGGGGAGGGACTTTCAAATATAGTATTATCCCAATGAGCAAATGCAGGTTGTTTGGAGGACGGGGAGGTCTATTTTGCCAATTGTCCTGGGAAACCATGATAAAGAAAATACTATGTCAGACTATTAAAGTTGATAAATGTTCACTGGGAAAACATCCTAGCATCTCTATAGTGAAAGTCATTGTAAGCACCAATAATTTTTTATTAGCCACTATCACTTCAGTCACTAAGCGATTCCACAAAGCCGCTCTTTCATACTTTCAAGGCACTACATAACAGACATGGACAATGTAGAACCACTTGCTTCAAAGAAATGGAGCTTCACTGATACACAGAAGAACAACAGATGATTTCTGAAAACATAACACTGCTTTTTAAAGCTCAGAGATAAAATTTAGGCTTCCTTTTTCTATCTACCAGCAGAAGCCACAGACAAGCTGAAAGAGCCCATCCATCTTAAACTTCTTTGTAAACTAGAATAAAACCAGGTTAACATGACAGTAACAAGGCCTAGAACCTCCATGTTGCCTTGAACTAACCTTGGAAGTGTAAATGAACCAGCTCCAGCATTCTCTCTCAGCACTCAAGACTAATCTGAATCTCCCCTGGAGAAATCCTTACCTACTCAATAGTGACAAGGGCATTGACAAATGTCCTTAATGACCAGCACTGGCGGCCTGCCCCTTGCCAGATGCACAATCCTACAGTATAATGCTCATGCAACGGAGTCTGCTCTGCAGAGAAGAGCAGTTGTAAGAAAGGAAGAATGAGAAAAGCAGAGCTTTCTGGGAAACAGGTGTATCAGAATGTACCTGGTATGAGTCCGGACATAGCATAAAGGCAAATTTGTCCAAGCAGAAACCATTGTCAAAATTCCAGGTTGTCCCCTAAGGAAAGTGTTTAGCTTTATATCAAGGAGCTGCACATAAGCAAGTAGGAAACTAGGAGAGTTAGATGATGATCAAGTCAGGACATAAAGGCTTCCGCATACAACTCCCCGGTCTTGAGTCTTTCAGACTTTTTACTCTCAAACAGGCTTTCTGAAAGTTCCAGGATGTGGCAAGTCTAATATACTGCCTCACCTGAAGAAAACATAAGCTAATGGGTATTTTAATTCCCCAAATGCACAAATATTTGTAATGAAGTGATTATCCAAGTGTCTATGCCTCAAATGTCGGAGTGCTTCAGAGAGGCTTCTTTCATAGTCCTTTGGAGAGGGGAGTTGATGGCAACTGAGTTTTCAGGTCTGTCATCGCATCCCCCCCCCCCTTTTTTTTTTT